CAGTTCTGCTTGATTGTGGCTGAGCTCACTTGAGTACCAGTAGTTTTGCCAGGTGTCTGGTATTCAGCATAGGGAAATATGGTCATTCTAACCCTAGGCTGTGTCCACATTGCATGCTTCTTGTGCAGGAACAGCTGTTCTTGTGCAAAAGCTTACTGGCTGTCTACACTGCACGAGCGTTCTTGCACAAGTAAATTTACAGTATTGTCGGAACACAGGGCTTCTTCCCGAAGAGTTATTCCTCTCCCTATGAGGAATAAGTCCTCTTGTGCAAGAGCTCTTCTGCAAGAGGGCAGTGTAGACAGGCAACATGAATTTCTTGCGCAAGAAGCCCCTATGGTTAAAATGACCATCAGAGCCTTCTTGCGCAAGAGAGCGTCCACACTGCTATGGATGCTCTTGCACAAAACCACATGGCAGTGTGGACACGCTCTTGTGGAAGATTTTTTGCACAAGAACTCTTCCGCAAACCAGTTCTTGCACTTCCGCAAACCAGTTTTTGCACAAGAAGCCTGCAGTGTAGATGTAGCACCTGTGTTTTTTCACATCACCGGCTACTTGGATAGATTTTGCTTCCTGAATATGCACTACAGGCCGGATTTTTAAATGTGAGAGCACTGAGATACTTTCGAAAATAATTTTGTACCTGAAAACTTATTACAAAATCCATATTTCTATAATAATTCTTCATTCTGCAAGCACTGAGGTACACACTTGAATTTTCTATTACTTTATTGCATATGTAAACATTAGGATTTTTTCTCATATTTGTACTTCTAATCACATATTTCAGCATCATCATTTCTGTGAACGCTACATCTATTATTACAATACATTCCAATGGTGCTTTTCACTCTGATAGTCCTACTGTTCTGTGTTGCCAAAATCCAGAGATTTTAAAATGAATTCTCTCTTTTTTGCAAACGTCCAGAGCACAGTGCTGACCTCACCAGAGGTGACTCTTCACTGCGTCTCTGCAGGGGAACAGCTAATGCATGTTCATCAATGTCTGTAAACCCCACATTTGTTTAGCAGCGGCCTGGGTCATGCTGCTTCCCGCCACTCCTCTTGTCTGAGGAACTGTCCCAGATTGAGGTGTCATTAGAGGTTTTGGAACAAATGGATTAACTTAACAGTAACAAGACACTGGGACCGGCTGGGATTCACCCAAGAGTTCTGAAAGAACTCATATGTAAAATGACAGAACTATTAACTGTGGTTTGTAACTTGTCCTTTAAATTAGCTTCTGTACCTAATGACTAGAAGATAGCTAATGTGAGGCCAATATTTTAAAAGGCCTCTAGAGATGATCTTGGTAATTACAGACTGGTAAGTCTAACATCAGTATCGGGCAAATTATTTGAAACTGTAGTAAAGAACAAAGTTGTCAGACACATAGATGAACATAATTTGTTGGGGAAAAGTCAACAAAAGGAAGTTTTTCTTCACACAGCGTACATTCAACCTGTGGAACTCCTTGCCAAAGGATGTTGTAAAGACAAGGGCTTTAACAGGGTTTAAAAAAAGGGTAGATAAATTCATGGCGGTTAGGTCCATCAATGGCTATTAACCAGGATGGGTAGGAATGGTATCCGTACCCTCTGTTTGTCTGGAAATGGATGACAGGAGAGGGATCGCATGATGATTACCTGTTGCGTTCATTCTCTCTGGGGCAGCTGGTAATGGCCAAAGTCGGTAGACAGGAACCTGGGCAAAACTTATGTTCTGATCCCATGAATTTTAGGATCTCATCTTGCAAACACTCAGCACACGTTTAATAATAAGCATCTGAATAGTCATATTAACTTCATTTAATCTCTGCTGTGGAAAGGGTTTATATAGTCTCTGTGAAATGAAAGAACCAAGGTCTGTGCTGCTAATAAATGGATGAAAACGAGAGTTTTTAAATAAAGCAGCCTAAATGCAGGCAGATGAATATGTGGCTGGCTTATCAGAAACACTGGGTGCTCAGAACCAAATCCCATTGTTACAGGTGCAGGAATGTTGAAACTCAAGCCAAGTACTGAGAGAAAGGAATATGGATTTGGGATCCAACTTGTGTCTGCTGTTTATAGAATATCTAGATTCAAGCATTTGCCCACAATGGCTGAGTTCACCATGTGTGTCACCAGAGACAGAGTCTGGGGAGAATGGGAGTGTGGAAAGGATTAAAGCCCCTTTTAAAATGTCTCCAATTGCCTTTCTCCCCCTGACAGGCTGCAGAACACCCACGCCTACAGCCTGCAGAGCCAGGGACAGGAAATGGCTGTGGCAGAGCCGGTGACCTTCGAGGAGGTGGCTGTGTATTTCTCTGAGGAGGAATGGGCCCTGCTGGACCCGGGTCAGAGAGCCCTCTACTGGGATGTGATGCAGGAGAATTATGAGACTGTGAGCTGGCTGGGTAAGGATTTCTGTCCTCTCGAGTACCAGAAGCTGGTGGGCTCTGGAGCAGCTGGGTAGGGTTTGGTTCAGAGTCCCTCATTGTTCCCTGCCCCCCAATGTCAGGAGTATGAACCCTAATAACCCTGGCTCCTGGGTGAGAGACTGTCCCCTCCATATCCCCTCCCAGGGGAAGCAGGTTGAGGGACATAACAATGGTGCTGCTCTTCCCACACCCAAGATCTCAATGTGCTTCCCCACCATCTTGCCCCTGTTCTGCCTTGGCCGGAGGTGTCTGTGGAAGGGCCCAGACAAGAACAGCAGGTACCAGAGTTGTGGGTCTGGATCTGGCTGCTGTTAGTGCCTGCAGGGTACCCTTTGGGCTAAGGATGTAAAAATGCAGTTACTTTCCTAATTGAGTAGTCGATAGTTCTTTTTTGTATCAACTCGACTACTCAATTAGTCGATAAGGTTAGGCAGTTACAGTGGTCAGTCTGGCTCGCGCTGGGTCCCCGCATAACCTCCCCCACTGTCCCTCTGCATCGTGTTGGACAGGGGAGCCAGCTTGCGAAGAATCTTACAATGCAGAGCCGCAGTAGGGGGAAGTTATTCTGACAGGTGAGAGACCCGCAGGGCCAGGGACTGTCCTAATATTGCACAGCTGCAGCGGGGGTTGAGGGGAATGCAGCTTGTCGATAGGGCTAACCGATAAGTTCACATCCCTACCTTGTGCCAGTGGGCTGAACCTCTGGGAGAAGGGCGCAGCAGGCTCCCCGGGGCAGCAGTGAGGAGCCCCTGCCCAGTGCTAGTTGGGTGAGATGCAGGGCAGGTCACACCTCTGCCAACAGCTACGGCAGGAGGGGAGGCACTGGGAGGTGTTCTCTGGCCCCCAGACTTTCTCTCCTCTCACCTCATTACACCAGCAGCCTACAGGGACACGCTAAGTGCCTCCCTTCTGCATGCAAGCCCTTTGAGTCCCCCACAAGTCCCCCACTTTGTCACAAGTGTATGCCGGGGAGTGGGCCCTGCAGCGAGGCAGAGGCCTTGCACAAGGAGGGTATGTCTAAACTACATGGCTCCGTCGACGGAGCCATGTAGATTTGTTTGTTCGGCAAAGGGAAATGAAGCCGCGATTTAAATAATCGCGGCTTCATTTAAATTT